TGCACTGAGCTGTCAAGTCAGCCTTCAGCCACAGGAAGGTCAAGGCAATTCACAGGTATGGCACCACAGCACAATTGCAGGCAACACCAAATTTCCCCTCCACTCCCACCTCAAGCCCCATGTCAGCTTGGAAGGGGCATGGACCACACACATTTGCAGGAGACACAGGGTTCCGGCAGCCTTCAAAGGCCTCTTCTTTCCTTCTCTCCTCCAAGAGACAACTGGGGAGAGATGGAAAGACCCGGGGGGGGTGAAGGGGGGAGGGCACAATGGAAGGGGAATGTCAGAACTGAGAGGGCCCTTTCAGGAGAAGGGCTGGCAGGAGGCATTGAACACACCTTCCCAGCAGCTCCAACGCAAAATTCCACACCATTACTACATATTTTCAACACGAGAATTTGAGGTTCGTGTTGGTAATTAGTCAAAAAGTTCAGGAAGTTTCATCGGCACCAATGGCTTTTCACATGGCTGTATTCATGCTTCGCTGTGCCACTAGAGTTCTCCCTGCATTACATGTTTAAATTCCCCAATGCAAAAGGATTTCTAAAAAAAAAAGTAAAATGATGAAGTGAAAAAACCTACTCTGGTCATTACTCCCCCATCTCCATTTCATGCTTTCATTTTTTAAACTATTCTTTGCTAACTCACAAACTTGGTCTATGACACTTGGGGTTTTTTTAAAAATAATCCTAATAAGGACCAAGAGAGCTGATGCTACCAGAACTATTACTTTGACTGTAAGCTCTTTGGGGCAGGGATCCTTTTTTTATTGTGTGTTGGTTTAGCACCTAACACAACGCAGAGCCTGGTCCATAACTGGGGCTCCTAGGAGCTACCACAACACAAGTGACAACGACTACTGCACATTTAGGCAGCACCCACACTAACAAAACTGGGAACTTTAATTTCCCGGGGTGCTGCTCCAAGCCAGTAACAGTGGCAGTAGGACAGAAAGGATTCTAGCATTTTTACCACTCTCTCATCTAAACCACTTCTGATTGAGGTTAGAGGACCTAGTGGTATAAATGCTTGAGTCCTGCCTACGCTACAGTCTCCACCTTTGCTACCAAGAGTGGTGTTGCCCCCATTGAGAATTACGGGTCCTGATTTTTCTAGTGTAACTAAGGTCTTGGACTGTCAACTCTCTGTGAGCAACCACCATGCCTTCTTATGCATTATGGGTTTTAACTTCAGATAGGACCTTATAATCCTTTTGTCTGACTTCCTGCATAATAAAGGCCATAGGTCAACACTCAGAAATTCCTGCACAGAGCCTAGTAACCTGTGGTTGAACTAGATCACCTCTTTTATGAAGACATCCAGTCCTAATTTAAAGACCTCAAGTGATGAAAAAAATACACCATATTCCATAGCAAACTATTCCAAGGATTAATTACCCTCACTGTTTCTAACCTGAATTTTTCTAGCCTCAGTTTCCAGCCATTGGATTTTGCTATGCCTTTGTCTGAAAGATTAAGGAGTCCTGTAGTATCGTATATCTTGCTCCTTATGTAGGTATTATGTCCAGTGATCAAGTCACTCCTTAACCTTCACTTCAGTAAAAGGAATAGACTGAACTATCTAAGCCTGTTTGGGATCGACGGGCCCTGATATACTACAAATAATACCTTACAAAAAGATGGAACCTTTATCAACCATGCTCACTGTATATCTGGACAGAGCAGTGTGTTGTGGGATCAGCACTCACAATGAATGACAAACATTGCGTCCCATCGAAATTTAAACCCTGAAGGCTAAACTAATTTAAGAGCGACGAGACAAAGGGAGTTCAATAAGGGTGAAAACCACCTATGCTGCAGCTAGGTAACAAAAATCCCTTGGCCCCTGCATGGGAGGAAATGCAAAAGCCACCTTCACATGCATCTTTCTTTCCAAACACCAGCTTTCATGCATCACTAACCCACCAAGGACAAGTATGTGTAAGAAAACCCAATCCAACATTTATATTTGTAAATGGCATGGATTTCCTTCCCAGCTACCCAATAGCTCATCTAGAAAAACTCCATGTAACGTACAGACAATTGAACTGCCAACTCAAATTTGTCCTTACATACAGATTTGGGGAGGGGAGAGGGAGAGAAGGATTTTACAAAGTGTTTCCATGGGTTTTTAAACAAACATTCCTCCTGTGATTATTGCAACACTTAGAACTCGAAAATGAAGCTGGCCATAAATAGGAGTTAAAATTGACAAGTTCATTTTCATTTTTCAGAGGAGCAGCCGTGTTAGTCTGTATTCGCAAAGAGAAAAGGAGGACTTGTGGCACCTTAGAGGTTAACAAATTTATTTAAGCATAAGCTTTCGTGAGCTACAGCTCACTTCATCGGATGCATTCAGTGGAAAATACAGTGTCCACCAGGAGGAAAAAATGCAAAGAGTACAGCTGCATAGTGAAAAATAAATTAGACGTAAGATTCTGAGCTTTTACCATCTAAATTATTAGTAACAAAGGTAAAAAAAAATTCTTTGTGTGTTTTTCAAATGGATAGAGTGCTTTTAAATGGAACAAAGTGAATCTCTTTAGTGAGTTTCTTTTCATTCCATTTGAAGAGTCTTTAAACATTCAATTTGTATATTGCACAAGTAGATAAATTAGAGCTGCTATGAAGCATGCTCCATACAGACTGCTAGAGTAAAGACTGCGTAGCTCAGTCTTACGGCACATTCTTCTAGTCAGTTCATAAAGAAGGATCAGTCTTGGTTGCAAATGGAGTTGTGCCCCACACAAGGTAAGCAAATGGAAGGAGAAACCCCCTTTGGAATGATGGCAGCTGCCCTCCCAGAGAGGAAAGGCTGGACCGCTGTATTTTTATAATGCAACTAATGTATCTAGAAACACTCCTCTTCCCTACCTCAACCCTCCCATGCATACACCCACTCTCTCTTAGGGAACAGAATACAATTAGAATTGGTCATTCCTTGATCAAATAAACTCATTGAAAGGAGAGCCATCTTAATGGTTCAAATCTAGGAGACTAGGTGTAACACATTATATTTACTACAGCAAAGTCTGTGCCAATCTCTGTCAAGGGTTTTCCTGTTTATGGGCTGAAAATTCAGAACAGGGGGATGCTCAGTGCGTGATGGAAAACAACCTTGTATGGCACAATGTCCAGAAATGGGGCAGAATCATGTCCCTGTCGAGGGTAATTCTGTGCACTCTGAATGATCAAAAGGAATTTGCAGTGTAAAAATAAAATAAGTAATAAAGGAGATGGCATGTCAATTTCAGCATGCTACAGAAATTAAAGGCTAAGAATGCAAATACTGGTAGACAAAAGGTTTTTTCCCCACCTTAACTATAGGGATATACCACAGTCTTCACCCAATCAACAAGAATTGTATTATGCATCCATATATGCTGCCATAGCAGGGGCGTGACCAGATGCCATATAATATACTAAAATTTTTACAAGACCCATTTCAGACAGCTCCTAAGAAAAAGCCCATAAAGATACAAAATAATTATGCAGAAAATCCTAGTGAGGCTAATGTCTCTTTATCTCCAGGAGAAAGCAGACAGAACTGCAATACCAAGGAGGGATTTGTCTGTCTATTGTGTCCCTGCTCATGGCTGTTACTATGGTTATCAATTACATCAAACAAGGTGACTCAGACACTTAAAATACAGGGGGGCAGATAAAGTGCATTTTCCCCCATGCTCCAGTAATACCAAGATTTTAGAATAATGAAACGTAAAAATCACATAATAGTGACCTGTGCTGTGTAACAAAGCAGCGTAACTCTTAGACTACATGACCCAAATAGCTCTCCTTCTATCCCCAATTTTATGATTAAAGGAGATAGTGACCATGCACAGAATACCTTTTACTTCTTAAAATGACAATTTTTTTTAAAAGTGCCCCCACATTAAACAGGATCCTCTCTGTAATGTTGAAGATATGATGAACTGCAAAATATGGCACCTCAGATGTGAAAAGGAAAAAAAGCCCACCCTTTCTCTCTCCAGATCCACACCTACTGCAGTACCCACAGACAACCTATGATTTGCCATCACCCCCACAATCAAAAGCAGTCTTCCAAACAGGAAACCAAACCTGGCAGCAGGAATGAGATGGGGGGGAGGGGGAATGTAGAGAAAAGTGGGAAGGAGGGGAAAAAATAAAAATTCCCCTATAAAATGCACCTGCAACCCTAGAGCCGCAACAGTGGTTGCAACTTGCAGCAGGATGGGAATAAAGCATCCGTGTGAATTACATGAAATAGAAGACTGCTTTTAAGAAAAATCCCTTTGCAATTTAAAAAGCCAAGCTGGACCGGTACACACATTTATCCCCAAATAACGTTGCAGCTGAGTTTTAATACACAAGCAAAGGAAACAGTGACAGAAACCTCCATTCCCTGAACAGCTCACGCCACCAAACCCACCCTTTAGGTTCCAGCAGAGACACACCCCTACCCCATTTTATAATGCAAAAAGTCTCCACTGAATGCTGGGGGGTGGAAAGGAGGTACAACAACAGAAAAACACCCTCACTGGAAATCGAAACAAATAGATTTTTTTTGTTATTAGATAGGTGCGCGTGTTGGGATTTTTCGGAGGCGGGGGGGGGGGGCCGCAAATCTCATTATTCTGCAAGCTGGATTCTGCAAATTTAAAAAAAAAAAAAAAACACCCTGCACAGGTTCCCTCCCTCCCTCTCTCTCTTTTTTTATAAACACTAAGGTGAATGCAAAGTGAATAATGCAGAGAGTGCATCCCCACATAGCCACGGCACTGCACGCCCTCCACTCCCTGCCTCCCCCCCTCCAAGACCTTTGCAGTGCGCACACACAGCCCCCTGCATTGCACTGCATTGCACTGCATGCAACTCCCCCCCCCCCGCTCCAAACCCGTGCAGTGCCCTGCAGACACCTCACACCCCGTTGCATGCACCTGTGCCCTGCCCCAAGGTCTGCCCGTGCCCCCGCTCCCCCCGGGCGGGGTTTGCACTGGGTGGGGAGTCCCGGGCGCCTACCTGCCGCCGCGGCTGCTGCAGGGGGAGCTCGCTGGAGACGCGCAGCGAAGCCGGCTGGAAGGGGGAGGGGGGGGAGCGGGGGAGGGACAGGAGAGAGCGCGCGCGCGGGCGGGCGGGGGCCGCGCGCGGGCGGGGGCGGGGGCGAGCGCAGGCTCCGGAACCTTCGCCGAGCGAGTGCCCGGCTCCTGGGGCGCCGCCAGAGGGAGCAGCGGCGCGCGCGCAAGCGGACAACGACCACAGCCTCCTCTCGCAGGGGGAGGCGCATGCGCCGAGTCGCCGCCCGCGGGAGCACCAGGGCGCAAGCGTACAACGACCCGAGCGCCACTCACTGACCGCTCCCCCCCCCGCCCTTCAGAAGCGCATGCGCGAGGCCGCCTTCGTCGTCGTCGTCGTCCGGCTCCTTTGAGGGAAGAGAATGTTTCTCCTGAGGGAACACGCGCCCCGAGGGGGGAGGGGCTGAGAGTCCTGGGGGACGGGCCTGGCCTGAGGGGGCGGGGCCTAGTCAGCAACCCCGCCCCCTTGTTACCCAACAGAGGGGGACCTGCCAGTCATCCGCCTGCCGCTTTCCCTCAGACACCCCCCACTGCCGGCGCCCCCCCCCAAGTGCCCCCTCCCCTCTCCGAGGCGCCCCCAACCGCAATTATCTGCCCCTCCCCCCTCCGAGGCGCCCCCGCAACCGCAATTATCTGCCCCCTCCCCCCTCCGAGGCGCCCCCGCAACCGCAATTATCTGCCCCTCCCCCCCTCCGAGGCGCCCCCGCAACCGCAATTATCTGCCCCCTCCCCCCTCCGAGGCGCCCCCGCAACCGCAACTATCTGCCCCCTCCCCCCCTCCGAGGCGCCCCCGCAACCGCAATTATCTGCCCCCTCCCCCCTCCGAGGCGCCCCCACACTTCTGCCCCCTCCCCCCTCCGAGGCGCCCCCGCAACCGCAATTATCTGCCCCCTCCCCCCTCCGAGGCGCCCCCGCAACCGCAACTATCTGCCCCCTCCCCCCTCCGAGGTGCCCCAAGGGGCACCCCCAACCATAATTATCTGCCCGCTTCCCTCCTCTAAGTGTCCCAAAACACCGCTCCTCACTGTACTAGATGCCCCTCAATTCCTCCGATCACCAGACCTAAGAAACTTCTTGCCCTTTTAAAACCAGGCACAGCCATAGCGTAGACTGGGTTTTAGGTAACTACCCATTTTTACCAATTTGGCAAAACAATCTCACATTCCCCCACTGAAGTGAAGGCAAAGTGGGGAACAGAACCCAGGGTTCAGGGTCTCAGCCTTTAGTTAGCTACTAGAGTATTCCTCCTCAATTAAATATCTATAATAAAATGGGCTATGGTTAAGAAAATAATCTGACCATGATGTGACAACTTTTGGGGCATTTTCCACTGCTATTTCTCATTATACCTTCTCTTTTCTCCCTTTAGTACCTCTATCAGAAATCTGCTCCTAGATCACATACTCTCTCTTGATTTGCACCTAACTTTATTTATTATTTTTGATAATCAGTCAACACCTTGGGCCATTCTCACAAAAGAATCCCCCTACAGCTTCTCCACTAAATCCAATGACAAAGGATAAGTAACCATATAATAAAAGGCAATAATTCTACTGTGGGATCTCTGTTAAATTCAAGAGCAAGAACCTGAGTGAATTGTCTCTAGACCATACAGTGGAATTTGCTTGATACCTATTTGTAAAAAAATAAAAAATAAAAATTGAATAATCATCATCATAAAGATCCTTTCCTGAACACAACCATGCAAAACACTAAAGCTTTGTAAAGCGTGAGAGTTAGAGTTTTCCTTAACCCACAAGTCCATGAACTACTGGGGAGTGTGGAGAAAGCAAAGGATGGGGCCAACAAAAGCAGCAGAGGCCAGTGTGTTTGTGTGATGTACGTAGCTAGCTACGTAACTTATCACTTTTGTTTTCTCAATACTGCACCTTTATGTTTCTCAGGAGCCTTCCTCTCTGCAGGGGCAGGTACCATGGGGTCAAGCCTGCAAAGTGATGAGTCTCAATCTAGACCACAGGTTTCTCTAGTTAAGCACACCCCCTCCCTGTTGGCTGCTCACCAGATTGTTGTGGAGGAAATCCCAGACTCTGGATCCTCAGGTGTTTTACGTTTCCCAGGGTCTCCACAGGCCCACATGGTTTCCCCGTTGCATCTCTGGCACATGTCCGAGTCACTGACTCTCAATCTGTTAACCCTTTGCAGAAATGGAGCCCCTCTATCTTAGACCCTGTCAAAGTCAGATTCAGGACTCACATAATTTGTCAGACCATTCTGTTTATTAGCAAAGCGCCTTGCTAATGCACCCAGATGTGAGCCCCTCTCTGAGGCCCAAGATAACTTATTTATACAGCTAAGCCAAAGCCAATTTAACATAAGAGACAAAAGAAAGCAGAAACTGACAAATATACATACATATCTTATTTGCATACTAACCTTTACCAATCTCCTAGCTCAGTAGGAGCTCTAAGTTAATTAGTTTGAGGACCCATTGTCTCACACTCCTTAATGTTTCTCTTCCTGACAACTATATTTCAACAAACCCTTCAAGCAGCATTTCTTTAATGAATTATAATTTCAATATAATTCATTCTACTTTCACAACCCCCAGGTCCAGTGTAAGACACCCCCCGGGGCTTAAATACACCCTCTCACAGAACTCGACACAAAGGCACAAGCCTTCTGGTTTACCCCTTCCAGTGGCCATGTGGTAGTGTAGCATTACACATAGAGACACTGTACTCAGAAGTCTAATACATTATTGATTCTGTATTTAATCACATGAGAGTTATACAGATCCATTAGAAAGAAAAAAATACACCCTGCACACAAATTTCCCCTCACTCTAGTTCACCGTTCCTTTGGGGGTCCTTGAAGGACCATCTGTGTTCAGGGTCCCCCTTCCCCAGTTCATCTAGCTCCTGCAAGACTTCCTTCATCTTAAGCTGGTGAAAAAAGGGCAAAGGAGAGAGACCAAATAGAAAAGGAGTACTTGTGGCACCTTAGAGACTAACCAATTTATTTGAGCATGAGCTTTCGTGAGCTACAGCTCACTTCATCAGATGTGCTCATGCTCAAATAAATTGGTTAGTCTCTAAGGTGCCACAAGTACTCCTTTTCTTTTTGCAAATACAGACTAACACGGCTGTTCCTCTGAAACCTGTCAAATAGAACAGTTTCTGTCATTTATAATCTTCCAGTTTCCTGTGTCAGATGCTTCCTAAAAAGAAAAGAAGTACTTGTGGCACCTTAGAGACTAACCAATTTATTTGAGCATGAGCTTTCGTGAGCTACAGCTCACTTCATCAGATGCATACCGTGGAAACTGCCTGATAGATTTCCACTCCATACGGCTAAATGCAGTGCCTTGCATAATGACAGGTTTCATCTGTCATTCAGCATCTGATGAAGTGAGCTGTAGCTCACGAAAGCTCATGCTCAAATAAATTGGTTAGTCTCTAAGGTGCCACAAGTACTCCTTTTCTTTTTGCGAATACAGACTAACACGGCTGTTGTTCTTAAATGACAGGTTTCAGAGTAAGACATTTCAGTGACATTGATCTATAATATTGGGGGAGGGGGGAAGCAATCTTGCTCTGAATCAAGGACATTAACTTGAAGATAGTGATCTTGCTTTGCATATTGTAGAAGATCCACAATAAAGACTTCTGATTTTCTTCCTCAGTGTACAACTATGATGCACATCTTAAACTTACACATCATTGAAATAAGTGCACTGCTCAAAGCCAAAATTCAGCCCTTGTATACTTACACAAGGTTTTCATGAGAACTACATATTTGCATCAGAGAGCACCTTGGCTTTTTGAAGTGCAGTTGCACAAAAATGTATTCCCCAGCAAAGAGGTTTCTTTCCTACGGACACTGGGCTTAATTCTGACCTTTGGACTCTTGTATTGGGAGATGGACTGGTGGATTTAATAGGTCTTTCCCATTTATAAAGTCTATGATTCCTTATAGTAGGGGCAAGACTAGATCATCATTGCTGTGAGCTTAGCATTCCATCTGCTACGCAGAGCTGCTACCAAGAGCAATTTACAGTGGAAGAGTGCTTAGAAAAATGAAGTAATCATATCACTGTTGTCAACAGGCAATTTCCTAGATATGTAGCAGTTGGGAGATGACTGAACTACCTGTCCTGTCTACCCACAGTGTCACACATATGTCAATAATGCTCTGCAAAACACATGGCTCTAAACAGTCCCCTTAATTTTTATTTGGAAAATTCATTGTGTGATAATAGTGAGGCTATCCAGGCAATATGTTTGCACCACTTCTCTAGCTGGTATACCATAAACCTTCATCACTAGTCCAGACATCTCTGGAACTGGAAGCATGCTATGAGAGCACCACAGATCAAACACTAGGGCAAGTTAGGGAATGTATCAAAGACCTGGCAACACTCAAGGACCCTGCTGCAGCACTAAAGCAGCGGGAGGGAGTTCTGGTGATGTTTGGAGAACCGCAGGAGCAGTGCAAGTCCCAGAGTGCTTCTGATCTCCCGGTGGAATGAACTCATGTTAATCAGCACATCTCCTGGCACTGCCCAATAGGTACAACATATAAACACTCTCAAAACAAAAAGAAAAGGAGTACTTGTGGCATCTTAGAGACTAACAAATTTATTTGAGCATAAGCTTTCGTGAGCTACAGCTCACTTCATCAGAGGCATTCAGTGGAAACAGATTTCTTAAAGGCACAAAACCGCATGTTCTTAGTTAAAGGTATATTTTAATTACTTCGGTGGAGACTATTCTAGTGAAGGGTCTTTTTACACTAAAAAAGTGGGTTGGTTAAAGATACCTATCTCTTCATCCCCAAAAGGAGTGGCAGAGTCTCGCTTTATACCCCAGCACTTGAACAGGGTACTGCCAGCCTTCGGGGCAGAAGGGGGACCTGGAAGGCCTTCTATTTCCTCCTGTCAGGAAATACAAGACCCAGGCCCAAGGATCCCTCTTTCCACTTCCCCTAAAGCAGGGATATGACAATGTCTTTCCTTTTCTGGATCGTGGGTGATTCACACAGTACAAAAACAATGAGGAGTCCTTGTGGCACCTTAGAGACTAACACATTTATTTGGGCATAAGCTTTCGTGGGCTAGAATCCACTTCATCAGGTGGGTTCTAGCCCACGAAAGCTTATGCCCAAATAAATTTGTTAGTCTCTAAGCATAGGTGCCAACTTCACCTCTTTTCCGTGGGTGCTTGACCCCCCCACGCTCCTGCCCACCTCTTCCCATCCCTTCCCCACC